TTAACTGTAAATAGTCCTTTTAGTAATACTGGGCGAGTACAGTATTCACGAGTGTGGTACTGTATTATCGTTTTTGCATGTGATTTGAAGCTAAAATACAGTCAGTGCCTGCCAGCTGGGATAATAGTTGCGAAAAGCAAACTATGAAAAAGAAGCACTGTGTCAAAAAAAAAAATGGAAGTTGCATTGTTAAATAAATGCTGCCACTTGGATGCATGAAGTAGTCGCCTCCTAGCTCTCTCAAGAGACGAGAAGTTAGCATCATATTACACAACGCTACATGGAGTAGGCTGTGAGGTGCAGCCTTTGCACAACATTAATTATGATATGCTGCATATATTATTTTACTTACTTTGTTCGCAGCGAACTTCGCTTGGCGTACAACCAGTGTTGCACTGCGCAAGTTTCCTACACCTTCCGTGTCAATCTATTCACTTGAATCAATCCGTTTTCTTACATTTTCGACCAATCATGTCTTGTCGGCACAGTCGGCCAGGTGTCGGCAATTTTATGGTATGGCTTACAGTGTTCATCTGGATCTGCTGCGATCAGACTGTCTCTTGCGTGCTTGATTGGATGATAGTCACATATTTCTGTAGAACAAGGAAACAATCCGATTAGAAGAAAACCACAGGCCTCGTCTGTCTGACTATACGGAATTTATATATAACTACTGTTGAGAACTGCCCAATGTACTGCTGATCGGGTACAGTAACCACCTATATTTGTAAAATCATTGAAATGCCGGCCCCGACGCTTCTATTCTGTGTATTACATAATAATTGGTCTACAAATCGTACTTAACTGTACTGTTAAACTTCATTTTGCCCCATTTTCAGAACCGAAAGCACCGCGCCAGGTGAGGAACGCTGCGTGTATGCATGTTTGTTTGCCTTGCGAGGTTGCACTGAGATACCCACATATACCATAGGATAAAATAATCTGTTAAGAGAAATAGTGGTCACTGGTGAGATAATTGGGCCGTATTTTGTCCATAATAGTATTTCCCGTGTAAAGTACTCATTATATAAAATTAATTGGAAAATATTTTATTGAATAAATATTATGATTTGATAAAACATTTCATTTGAACGCTTACATACTAAAGGCGCGCGGCTCACACGATCATCCCAGTGGCTGCACGCGGGCACCACATGAGCTATTTATATCGATCGTCACCGCCGACAATGCGAACTGCTGTAAATACGTACTTTGAGGTACTTTTATTATTATTATTTGACTTAGCACACTTTTTTTTAGTAGACTTTTAATTTTCTGTCGCCGTAAAATAAATGTACATATACATATTACTTAGTACGTTTTCTTATTTTTTTTTTAGTAGGGTTAGATTAAGCAGTATTGTTTCTGCTTGCTATTTTTCATAATTGGACTACAATAATCTATTGTTTTCTTATAGTTCATCATACCAGTAGTAGTGCATTACAGTATTTACTAAGCATTACATATGAGCCGCAAAGTGAAACCATTTGACCATGACAGTTTTTGTGGCGAAGTGGTTCTGCGAGAATTGCTGATCGCTGAGGTCCTCTTGCACACTGCACCCGAACTACTGACTAACGGAGGAGGTACTCCGATCTTCCGTGAAGTTGTAATGCTCACCTTGTGTACCCGTCGGTGGGCCGATTCGCTCTTCGCGTGATCTCGGAAGCGGCGTTTGGGCTGGTTTTTTGGACTGTCTGTGTAAACAGCGGGACCTTTGACGACAGCGGGGATACTTATACTAGCTGCGTCAGTTACGGTATTGAGTTGTCGATCTTAAGGCGTAAGATCGGCGGTCTTGGGGGGGGGTGGGGGGGGGGGCGATGTTGGTCTTGACGCGGGGGGTATCTTGTGGTCGGCAAATCGCCTTCCTTCCTTTACGCGGTTGGCGCTTCCCTTAGCAGTTGGTCTAGAGTGAGAGTTGACGAGCATCCTGGTCAATCAATCCAGGCGCTCGAACTTCGATCTTGCGTAGGTACGTCTGTAGGGAGTCGTCGGGTGGACCAAAGCCAATCCCATACCCTGAATAGCAAAGACAAAGAACACTTACTAAGTAAGAAGTAAAAACAACACTGTTTAATGGATTAGCCTCGTCCTATGTCAAAAGCTGTGGTTCCTGAAAGCCTGGTATCACTCCCTCGAATCCCCGGGTATCACTGGCTCTTTGGTCGGCTGTTTTCGCCGCTAGCGGGTCCAGATCGTGGGTCTTTTTCCTCATGGTCTCACAATCGATCACAGACTCGATAAATTGTGGGTACTATTGACTTGGGTAGGTGTGGTGTATACCACACTTGAGATCGCCGTCGGTTTGGCTAGGTTTGACGTGGACCTCACCAAGATCGCCATAATGAGTGGTGTTCGACGGTGAGTGATGGGAACTGATAGCGTCCAATCTCGGAATATTCTGAATCTGCTTCACCACAATTTTGTACTCGCACTTGTGGTGTGTGCACTTACCAGACCCGTATGTGGTTTACATTCACAACATTAGCGCAGTGTGCATGGTAAAATGGAAGCGGGAGTACGGAAGCATGAAACCACAAGAGACCACGTAAATGCACGAAGACGAAGAAGAGCACTCAGTCAAGGAGGATCCCTGAACTAGTGAAGAGCACGAAATCAAGGAAACAGGACAATGCACATAGTGGTGAGAGCACGACGAAAGAGCGTGGAAGTGTTGCACAAAAAAATATGACGAAAGACGAAAGCCCAGCGCGATGAGGGTACAGACGACAAAAGGGCCTGGAGTGAGGAGAGACTTGAATGTACAGACCTCGAAATAGTTCGCCACCACGGAGCATGATACCACGGCAGAACGGACGACGGAACCACACGATGAGACTACCAAACCACCGAGATGCATGGAACCACGGGAGCGTACGGGATCACGAAATCCCACGACAATGCAGGCCATCGGATGTCATGAACACGTAATATCGCGGACCATTGAGGATTACAGACCACCGAGGAGGCCTGAACCAACGCCGACCACGAAATATTTGAAAAACACAGACCACGGAAGAGTATGCATCGACAGGGGGCATGAACGACAAGGGACATGGGCCTTAACCCCGAACAATGAAAGAGTATGGATGAAAGGAAAAGTATGTGGACACACAATAGTAAGCAGCAACCAAATCGAATTGAATGGAAGAGCATGAACCCAAGGGAGAACACGGCGCCACGAAAGGGAAGTGGTGAGTACGGATGCGCGGATCCAGGAAAAATCGCGCGAGATATTGGATTATAGAGTAGTCCGGGTACACAACACACTGATGTTCTCGGGGCCACAAACGTACCCGAAATATCGAAGAGCAGAGAAGAGCCTGAACCACGCGGCAACAAGAAATGCATGGAGATGCGACCACCTCATCTCCAACAAACCACGCCATCTCCGCCGCGTAGGTGGTGCTCGGCTAGTCTGAAACTAATTTACTGCTGTGGTGCGCATTGAACACACGGAGAACATAGTACGACCTCGCAACGCTATTCTCTCTAAGCTGCCAAGTGGAGCGAAGGCGGCACCAATAAAATAATAACTTCTTTAGTAACGTTGTATGTATCTACTTCGTTTGCTATCGCACTACAAATGCGCAATGTGTGCTTGCTAGGACCCTGTTCCGCTATATATAGTAACGGTGCTCCGTAGTTTGAGTCTGAATTACTCGATAGCGACACGTAAGAGCTAAATGGAGGGCTATAACAAACTTTTGTTTTTAATTAGGGCATAAATGTTATTCAAATGAGACACTCCGTTGTTATATGCTCGACGGGCAACCCTGCACTACTAGCAGGTCCGTAATAAGAATACGGTTGCTAATAGACATAAGCTTATTCGAGCCATAATTACATATTGTTCCAGATGCAATAACATATTGAATTGAATAAAATTAAATAATACCATAATGTAGAAGTAGCTTAATCATATTCTTTATAGCGCTTTAACTTTAGTCGCAGCAGGGCTGAGATATTAGCCACGCTAACGCTCCGAATAGCTGATCATTATTCGTTTGGATTGGAATCCCTGACTTATTTCGCAACAGCATTTTAATTTTTTTTTAATATTGTAGTAACTACAAAAACATTTTAAAAAATTACTAGAGTACAAGGATTGTTTACAAGGAGCTCCGATAGCGAACAGAAAGTGGATGCGACGATTCTTAGATCATTATAATCGGTTGCTTTATTTCATCACTAATTGGTAGCTGAACTCAAATTCACTGTAACGAGAAGACTTAATCTGAAGGAGAACAATTGAGAGAGATACACTTAACCATATCGGTGGTCGGGCACAAAGTCACTTAGCTGCAACCTGTGCGTATGAACTCTGCTGTTAGCATAGCTATTTTGGGAGTTTCCCATGACAGTAGGCGGCTGGAGCTAACGATACTAACGTGTACAACAAAAGCAAGTGATATAATTCCTTTTGGTGGAGTGGTGTTCGAACAATACAACGAACTGAGGAACACACCAGATTGCACACTGCAAAAGCATCGAGTCGTGATTATAAAAACAATAAAACCTTAGTTAATAGTGTTAGGGCACGAGACATTTGTAAATAAAGTGTATAGTACAATACTTAAAAAAAAAGTAAATGAGAGAACAGCTTTAACGTGTTGGTATATTTATACGCAGGAGACTACCGTAGCACAAAGTACAGTGTACCTACGGATTGCGAGTGATTACCTTAGAGATTAGACTTTATAGAGATTATTATAAAGTGCTAAATAAAATGAAGGGCTAAATGAAATATTTATAAGTAATCGATAAATGAGTTAAAGGAACATTTATGTAAGGGTAATCGATAAACAAATGGTCGTTTAAAAGGGTATAATCCCGCAAAAGCGAAGTGGAGGTCTTAGCGATTGCGCGGCGGTGCTCGGCGGTGCTCGGCTAGTTACACAACAGCGTGCCAAAATATACTTAAACAAGGAGAACATTGCACGAATTAAACATGTATCAGCTGCTACCCCAGAATAAGAATGACAAATTATAGGCGAAGTATATATTAAAAAAATTAAATGTGCTTTCATCAAACACCATGGACATCAAGATTACGATGTACGCGAAAATCATAGGATCTGCATGTGCAATGTTCAAGGCCCCGCAACTGTGTGCATTTCGAATCTGCAGTATAGTGCGCACTGAAAGACTGCGCACGGTTGAGCGGTGGTTGAGCTGCCTTCACGACACTCTGCTGTTTGTGTGTGTGCCACTGTACTGCTCTCAAGGCGAATAATATTAGCTTGAGCATCCAAAAGGCTGCCACCACAGAGACACTGGCGAAGATAGCTTGAAGCGGTGGCAAGTAAGGTGAGGTAGAGCTCCATTTCGGCGCAGATATAACGTCTGGATGAAGTGAACAGTTGCGTGTACGAACAGCCTTGTCGCGAGATCTGGCGAGCACGACCGACAACATTTCCCGAAGTGTCAAGTGCTGGAGCGAAGATGTCTACAAAGGATTGATATTGGGGGGGGGGCTCGTGTCGGTTGCTCAGCATCTTGCTCTAACATTGACGAGCGGTGCACGTATATAAAAATATTGTGTGGTTGTGTATACAAGCTCGGTGGACTTATGTTCAGGGCTCGATAAATTATCGTGTGGATACAATAGTATGGACGAAATGAGCTAGTGGTAACATGCACCTCTACATGAGCTGGAGGAAGTCCGTGCAAACCTTGGTCCGGTCAGCCTTCTTACAACATCGTTGAATTTTTTGTCGCCTTATCGTGGGAGTACAGTCGTGCGCCCCGTATTCGCCACCGCTAAATTCTTACAGCTAATAATACCTTACCAATACCTCTTGGTTGTAAGACGAAAAATGAACTATAAAATACTACCTCGAATAAAAAATAACTCACATATGTGTGTTAACACAATGTTGTTGAATTTGGATATCCTCCAAAGCCGACTTAAACGTTTTCACATGGTTTCGCATTTTCACCCGAACTTGTCACTACGCAAGATTCCTCCCTCCAGCTCAAGAGACCTTGACCGAAGATTCCCGCGTAATGAAGCGACAGAGTTTAGCAGATCAATGAAATATCACGCAACGAACCAACCAGGAGATGGAGAAGAATTTCAACTGGAGGACGGAGGGTCATGGGGAGGGATAAATAGATGAGGTGAGTACGCCTGGAAATGCTGCTTCCGTGAAAATGTGTTGACTGCTTATATGCTATCCTCGGTGCTAACGTGAATGCAGGTTTGATACTAGAACTAGATTATGCTGCTATAGGTAAAGAACCCCCGGAGCGTGAAGCTGTTTTTGATGGCGGAAGGAATTGGTGGCGCCGAGAACCACACACCACGCATCGATTACGCTTTATCTTTTACCTCGCATGAAGTATGGCTAGCTGTATCGCTATCCGCTCATGTCAATGACGCCCTGCTTCTCTACTGCTCAAGCGATAGCGTAGTACTGTGTTGCGCGGCATTGTGCAGTGGGATGGACCTCAAGATACCTCCCAAATCTTGTGAGGGAAGTTTGGGCTGAATTGGCGGAGCATATACGCCTCTGGCTACATGTTGATGATGCAAGTTGATTCTGTGTCCTTCCTACTCGCCTTATTACTAGCGTGATACTACTGCCACTAGCCAATTTTGTGCAAGGGTTTCGTACAGCGAATCTCTGCACATCTTATACCCGGAAAAGGAACGAGGCAGAGCTCTCGTAATTTTTTTTTTTGAAATGTGCGATATTTTCTTATCGGAGGTAGTCTTGCTTATGTGAAGTTCTACCTTTGCTTTGGGAACAAATTTATCTGTGTGCTGTCCTTACGGATCATATTATCTGCTTTCTTAGACCTTGTCACTCGAACTACAGCCTATGCAAACTGACAATAAGAACTAACATCCAGGGATCGGTCAATATATATTGAAATGAATGAATATCGTCAATTCTCCGACCTTACTAAATAGGTAACCGTAACCCTTTCATGGGAGTACACCATCTCTGGATCAAATTGAGAATTTCCCAGATCAAAATAGAAAGAGCTACATTCAAAACAAGAAAACCTTCAATACATAATGTTTTAGCATCCCCTCACCTATGCTATTTAATAATATGTGCAGAGTAGGACACATGTCCACTCTCAAATCTCGCCCCTTGAAACGATTAGACGGGGCATTTCGCATGTCTCTTGTTTTTTCCAGTTTTGATTCTAGCTGTTTTTTTTTCGTATTGATGTGGGAAATTTTCAATTTGATCCAAAAATGGTGTATCCTCAAGTACGAGGGAGAGGACTAAGCACCAAAGATTTGTATATCGCCACCAAACATTTAGTCTACATCACCAGAGATTTGGTTGCCGATCATGTGGTAATGAATCACCAGTGATTTGGAAAGCTTCACCAACGTGTAAAGTGCCAGTTATCTTCTGTAACAACAAGACACGCTAACTCTTTTTATTCTACTTACATGCAATTGTCAGATGGTTGTTACACAGATATATAATGGAGAAGCAATTAGAATTGGGACTTTATGTGCTTTATGTGCATCGAATGCATGAAATGCCACAGAAATGGGTCCCAGAATCAAGATATGTATTATTGTGATAGTATTAGTACTTACGTCGCTAAGTGTGAGTACAAGAAGCATGATGCGTACTTCTTTGCTGTGTACTGGTCGTGTGGATATCAGAGATACGCCCAAATGGATTCTCTGAATTATCGCGCCCGCCACCAGCTCTAGAGTTTTCTTTAACATGCACATTTGTCATGGGCCACTGGTTGTGTTTCGAAAAGTATGGAATGATGTGTCAGGGCTGTGGCCGTCACGATTAACGTTCGAAGGGTATGAGGTTGAGGTACGACGGTCATAGTGATTTCGGTTTTCAAAGTGCGTCAGGGCAAATTCAAATTCAAATGGTTGATCGTGTGATGTGTGATCCGTATTGTCATATTCACTGTACCCGAATTGTTCTTCAACTCCATCATTCAAATTCAGTGGGTTCCAGTTAGAAAAAAAAAATATCGTTGAATCTGGAAACGTCCTTGGAATGGATATGCTATTTTGTAAATCCCTATTCTGCTCGGCTGGAGGGCAACGCAGCCACGGACCGTACATTTGCCTGCGAGCAACCGCTTGCACAGTGTCTTTATTTCCCTGTAGATTAGGTGACGTGACAGCTAGATCATGTTGACGTCGGCTTCCATGTCCGATTCTTTGTTCTCTTCTGCGCTGGTCTCCTACACTAACAAATGTACGTTCGCGATCAGGCATTCCGGGGCAGGGAAGTCGCAATTCCTGTGTAGCGTGAATTATATGAACACACACACCAAACTTTCCACAAAAACGACAGCCACATACATGTACGCGAAACAGCGTTAACGAGCCATCCATTTTCCGGCATACTTTGCCACTGTATACGCAATATATGAATTGACTTATACGGTAGATTTTGGCTTATTGGCTCCACATGAAAATCATCGGACGAACTGCTCTCTATATCACCATACCTCCTTCTTGGAATATGTTGTATTTGGACTAGTTGGGCTGGGATGCTATCAAAAGCTGCAAGTAATGTTGTAGAAAGTTCTCGCTTCCGCAATGTCAAAGAGTACAGGGCTTTTAATCGCTGCGAAATATGAGGGGTGCTCATGAAAGTAGTCTTCGAGTTAGCGAAAACGAGGCGCGACTGATCTAATTTCTCGAGCATTTCGATGGGTGCAGCTCTCTTAGACTTGTTCACTAACTTGAGTGTTTTATGATACTGCTCTAATGGGTTATTCGTTCGTATCCCGAAGGTGTGTGGAACGCTTGCCACATGCTAAACCGAGGGTGTAATATCCACTGAGATATAATATGATCTGCTATTCTACGGAAAGGTAAAATAGCAGATCATATTATATCTCAGTGGATATTCGTGTCATCAGCGTTTTGTCATCATAAAAAAAAAAACGGGCGTGGTCCAACGTGCATCTTTCTGGTGTATTTCGTTGACGAGTACGACTTGGCAGCGAATCCACATGTTCATCCAGTGTCCTTTCGCAATTCGTGGCTGAATTCCATATCTCTATCCACGGTATTCTCCGTCCACTGTGGTTAGCTCGATTCAAGTCCATAGAATTCTGTAATACATGAATTTAGCCTTAGTATAATTATTGCACATGAAATATTAAGCATATAGGAGAGCGCGTGAAGCGTACTATCGTTGCCAGGTCGTTTATTCTGCAAGAAGGCTCTTGAATGTGAAGAGCGAAACAAAGAATACCTCCCGACGCGCTATAATTACTTCTATTAATGCCTGAAACTACCAGAGCGCAACTCTATATTTACTTTATACTCACTATCCTCATGGTGAAAAACGCCAAATCAATGGTGATTTAGTCCAATTAGATGGTGAGTGATTCCATCCGATGCTATGGTGATGGGCTCCAATTCTTTGGTGATCGTGTCAACATGGGTGGTGTTAGGTTACCTCACTCCTCAAGTACCAGCAAAACAGTCACTGACCTTGAGACCTTAAGTGCAAGGTAACAGCAAAAAAAAAAAACGGCTGATATCTTCAAGATATTAAAATCAGGTCATGATCTAAAACTACGCTTCCTATTCGCCAGAAAAAGCGTCAATATTGTGGCCATCAATTGTCGGCGCGCATGCAGACCCACGAGACGCAGGAGATGTTTGGTCTTGCTCTGTATACAGCATACTGACTACGAAGGCACGGAGGCGGTGTGCACGGCGTGCAAGAAGGTGATATCGGTGCCTGTCATGGAAGGTAACGACGTGCTGAGGATTCTACGGCGCTAACGGACTTTTGGCTCGAAGACGTTTGCAGTTGGGACCTATTGGAAAGCGGCTTCGATCGTAGTCAGCGTACACGATCGTACAGACGGAATGGGGCATCAACAGAGGAGACGTGATAACATTGTAGTCTGTGTACACGACAGTGACGCCGTAGCTGACAGAGGGGTTGACCCCAGACACTACGGAGACACAGTACCCAAGTCCAACGACTAGGCGATTGAGAGGGTGCTCGAGTTGCCACCCGCGTGCGAGACGGTGGGGGCTGCATACATAATTTCCCGACCACGATATCAGTGACCAGCTACAGAATACCACCAGCAGGAAATTACCAGTACAGACTTCGTCCGTGGTAAGTTTTCTTAAACTAAATATTTATTAATTATATATAAATGGCTAGTGCGATTTCTTACTGCTTAGGTATTTGCGAGAAAGCATCAATGCCTCTCCTTCCGCGTTCCATATCGGCTTCGATTCATAGCTCTCCATCTACTAGATCCTGTACGTATCTTTATACGCAGTGGTGTCTTGAGAAATATTTAGACTCCTTTGATGACTGACGCCACTTTGTACCGTACGTGGTCTCCAGATACTCAATAGATGGTTTGTCTGCGACGCCATCGTGCCCCTCAGCCCATAGTTCCTTTACGGTTGATATACCTCTGCTCATCGAGCAATTTGGCGGTATGTTGATATTGGCTGATGTGAGCTGAGTTGGACAGAGTGTACTTATTCTCGGTTCGCTTGTTGCAGAACATTCAAGATCAGCGGTATCAGATCTGTTGGGGGAGCCCACTGGCAATAAACGAAACGTTTTATTTCCTTCCAGCATCGAGGTAAGGCAATCTCGAGTTTCTTTGAACAGCTGTAGCATTTTTGGGTGTGATGAGAGTCTAATTTATTCATATAAATTAGACTCAGAGTGTTGATTAGTAACGTGCTCCGATAATAAAGGCATTGCAAGTTGAAGATTTCTTTCCACTGGACTTTGGGCACTTGCCACACCTGTCAAGGCTTGAGCCCTATATTGCTGAATGGATTCTACAAAGATGGTATGCTCGTGAATGCGACTCGGGAGATGATCGAAAATAACAGCGCAATCTTATATATAAAAAAAACTCTATGGTACTGGAGCAGCTCGAGAAACTCAGTGCAGCCAAATTGTCTTCCCAATTGTGGTCTAAAGTATGTTTTTGGCAATTTCGACTTTAGGAAAAACAAGTCGCTGTAAATCCAGAAAGGGGGGGGGGGGGGGGATCAACTGTAGCTCGAGAGCGGGATGTCCAGACAGAGCACGCATGGACTCGCGGGCAAGCGGAGCACTATAGACTGCCTCGCACGTGCCCACACCCCAGCTACCGCGCCGTCGAGTTTGCGATATATCCACATCGGCTGCCTCAAGTTGTCGGACGTTGTTGGCGGACGATGTGTGTGTTTTTTTGTTGAATGTGAGCCGGAGGTTATGGCGGATTTGTATGATATAGAGGATTTCACCGTCGTTATCTGTACTCGTGTCGCCATACAAGGAGCCAAAAATGCCCTATTTATTTGATTTTGGTGCGTGGGTGAGGCAGAATCATCATTTCTATTGAACTACAAGGATTTGCGGAAGATTTGCAATTTATTAAACTGGGAAAAATGCTTCCTTTGACGGCCAAATGACTTGGCGTTATATAGTATAATATATCCAGGTTAAACGTTCCCGTTCACGAAAGGGTTCACAGTAGTAAGGGCATATATGATCATTCACCTATTTCCACTACCAATCATATGACATCTTACAAAATCGTCCTGACCAATCAAAGCCGGGAGGGTTAGGTTGGTCATCCGTGCCCCGCTCCGACATATTGAGTTGGAGTGGAGCGAATTTTTTAATATTTAGCATAATGGCTTGTTTTAAGTTTCGATCGTACGTTCGAGTAACTCCGGTAGGGTGTGTAAGTGGTTTTAGCGGACAATAATATATTTTCGGTTTGAAACATATAAATTCAAGCTAGTAATAGCGACCTCGATTACAACGACTTACCACTGTGCACTATGAAAGAAGAACGTAGGACGTCGACTCGTGCTCTACTACAATGGCCTTTCGGTCCACACCAAATCAGGACAGTGAATGTCTGAGCTAATCTGCCTGAAGCCATTTGTTGTTGTACTAAAAACGACGTTAGACGTAACAGAGTGGCTAAGGAAAATTGCCAGTTTAGTAACCTCCGGAAAAACGCTCAAAAAATGTATAATGTCAATAGGAATTATCGGGTTAAGTTGCTACTTGGGCCAAAAGAAAGAGGAGAGACAGCGCGATTTCTTGTGGTTTGTTTTGGTATAGAATAATAGGACTTTGAGGTAGCTGCACGTATGGATGTAGAGAGCATCGAATTGACGCTGTTGTAAGTTTAGTAGCCCTTTTAGATTATCTTTCAGTATGGACAGGCTTCTGATCTGGTGATACGGTGTCGCTTGAGGATTAGGGAAAAGAAACCCATAATACCTTCTTTTGATTTACTCTCAAATCTTCAATTAGGTTATGAAATTCTACATACTATGTAGTACTGGCAGTACGGGCGTGCAGATAGTCCAGCTATCGATTCCACCAGCAAACATGGCTGTAGCACCGCCGATTCTAACGGAACAAGTGTCGAAATGGCTTTCGTCTCGGTTAGCGAAGTTGCAACGCTCTTAGATTCACATATCCACAACTTGGGCTTGAAGAAATTGATCATGCTCGATCTCGCACAACAACTCATCGGGATCGCCACTAACTGACTGGTGATGTTGGACTAGATACCAGACGGCTCAAAGTGGACAGCACCACGAAGCTGACGAGGTCGTTAAGGACCGCGTGACGCCTACTCCGGCCACAAAGTTGATCGCGATGCACTTGAGACCTGACTTCACACCTTCAGTCTTCTTGGTCGTAGAGCTTGACGTCTGATCGACGAATAGCGAATTGATAAGGCTTCTTATTGCGAATCAGGCACTCACTTCGCCTCAGCAAAAAGACGAAGCCCCTGACCGTAGCCCTCCCCACTAGTACACGGTCGTGGGCTGTGATGAAATTAGACGGCTTGTAACACTTAGAGGATGAATATCGTAATTGGTTGCATGAGCCGTGGGGACACCTGAAGTCGGTTGATTTCTGTAGTTACCATTGCGTGGTGAGGATGGAGGTCGATATTGACACCGAATTGGAGGTGATGGTTCCACGCGACCGCTCTGAGCTTGGACGAATGGTCTGTAGTATATTGCTTCTGGCGGAGGCGGTGCTACCGCCGTATCTATAGCAGAGTACCGCAAAGAGGACGAGTTGTCTTGATGCACTGGCAGGGTCGCTGGGGAGCAGGGGCTGTACTCCATAGTTGTGCTCCACCATTTTTTTTTGGTTCCACGACAAGTGATAGTGCTGTCGAGATAACGCAGTCCTTGTGGATTCTCCTCCAATGCAAGGGCACTTGCACCTGCTGCCAACCACAACACAATGTTGGCCACATGAGTGATTGAACTGTTGACCGCGGTTGTGATCCTGCATCTTCCATGCTAATAACTGATTTGGGGAGGTGTTGAACAGATAGACAATTTCGGAAAATAGCTTCAGCCAACCCGATAGCTCAATTAATCTTTTGTCCGAAGCCGTTCTTGGAATTTAGGAGGTTGATCCTTGAAATAGCTGAGATAGTGTCGCACCAGCAGACCACAATGAGGGAAGTTGAAGTCTTACCACCAACACCATATGTTTCATTGCATCGAGCGGCCTGGGCTAAGTGGCATGGACTGGAACGAATGAAGTCGTATATACTAGTAGATACCATGGAGCCGCTGGTAGAATGGCTTAGCCGGCCGTAGGCATGTGGTGAGGTGGCGAAGATTACCGAGTAATTTCTGGAGTTAGCTTGCTGGCCTTTTCACTATCCAGTAGTATGGAAATCAGCCAAGAATTGAAGTTCGGTGGACCAATTGGAAAATTTGGAGTCATGGATGCTGCCCGGTCCCAGCACAGCCATCATTTTACGGCGGAGTGTCGATTCAGCTCTAGGCGGTTGCATCTATCGGGTTCGATGAGGATGTGGTCATCTACCCACTCATACACGAAGAAGTAATCGTCATCTGCGCTTTCCAACACGGATGCTGGGGACTTGACTCTTAGAATGTAGTTTATTGCTCAACAGAAAGCGCTGTAAAAAGAAAAGGAGCCCAACCAGCCGATCGGAGCCGCCAGATATATCACAAGACCCTTTTTGTCAGGGAACATCCCACCCATCCTGCGCACATGAATGGCGTGGAGCATGAGGTGACGAAATGCCGTCTTCGCGTCACCTTGTAGCAGCTGGATGATGGTATCGGGATGCAATTCACCAACTCATCAATGCTTCTGGTAAAGCGACGACGCTATAAACGACTACTTTAACTCAAACAGCGCTCCAGATATCGCTATTTAAGTTAAAGTAGTCGCTAGTAGAAGTAGATTCTGAGTAGGAAAGTTTATGCATCGGGCGAGCTTCGTCTTGAGGACTGACACCATTCTTCTCCACCGCTCCAAATGGGCTGCACGGAATATCGGCCCAGTGGCAAAGCAATAATATACTCACAACGAGGTCCGTTCCGCTACTCTGGTCTCCGCGAACCTACTTCATCGGCCGAAGATTGAAACAGTCGTGCGGGCTTGTGATCATGCGGAGGCGTCCGGTGCGCTGGGTACTCCGATGTCCACGTCAAGCAAATACCGGTACGCGCAATCCGGGAAGAAGCTTTTCCGTACTAAAAGCGTCCTAAACGTCCTAACTTGTCCTAGTACCTACTGTCATAAATGACGGTATTGGCACGAACCTTCGGCATCGATTCTAGGACATTTAGGACACGTAGGACAGTGAGGACACGTAGGACAGTGAGGACACGTACGACAGTTAGGACACGTAGGAAACTTATACACTGCCCATGTCAACAAGATATCTCTTATGACTTACTGAATGTCAGAATACCTACTCAAACGCCGTGTATTCCCCAGGAACTTCAACATTCACAGATCGCGCGTGAGCAGGAGCGCTCTGCCGACCATGCTTGATGTCGTCCAGCAGCTTTACGTAGGAATGAGCTTCTTTCTTTGCAGCTTCAATGAAGACGAGGATACTTGGATGCGGCGCACCAATGCGAGCAGCAAAATCGCGATTGTACTTCTCCAGCGGGTTATTAGTCCGATTTGTCATGCTCACATTGTTGCGCCGCATCTGGCTCACGTTCCACAGCGACATGTCGAACCTCTTCGTCCACGTTCGTACAAAGTACTTCCAGAAAGCGGTCCATTTAGTTTTCGTCTCGGTCTCGTCGATGATGCTTCGAACGTACCGTAGTCCCTGCATAAAAAAAATAAATAAAAAAGTATTTTTATATAAGTCATATTTTCCGAAAGTAAATACAGAAAAATTACGTACCTTGTCCAGCACTTCTTCGGCAGGAATGACTGTAAGCACGTCCAGCTTTCCAGACTTCATGGCATCCGCGATCTGTTCCTTGGGAATCTTCAGCTCTATCATCTTCCTACGAAGAGCCTGCTTCCAGTGGAAGAGGCAGCCAACGATGTTGGCTGTAGGAAACTGCTCAATCACAGCGTTAATTAACGCAAGCTCAAAGTCACAGGTAACATCGCGAGGCTCCAGCAGGCGGTCGGACGCCATGATGAGCTGCTCTAGTACTCGCCAATACGTTTCTTGGCTTTTCGAATTGACGAGTACGTAGAGTAGCGGCACGTATACGTCGACACTGGGATCATAGACCATAGCAATAAGGCACTGCGAGAAACCCTTTGGTACCACGGAAAAGGTACCGTCGATAAATAGGGTCAGCTGCGGGTACCGTAGAATCCGCAGTAAGTCCGGATGCCCAAAGCACAGCATGCGCTGTATGCCGGTGGTGGTGGGGTGAGCCATGCTGAATTGTAGGAACGGGCGCGGGTCCGAGTCGCTAATGCTTCGCACCGGTGTAGCCTCAACTGCACGGAAAATATCGCCACCCGTGGCACCCTGGCGCACGTTTTTAATGATTGTAACACCATTCGGGCGCGCAATAGCGTAGATAGTGGACGGGTGATGCTTGGCACGGAATTCATCAAAGACGCGCTGCCACAGAACACCAGGTGCAACAGAGAACTCCTTAATGGCGCGATCTTGGAACTCCAACGACATGTCGCGGCGAACGTCTGCGACCTCTTCTAAAATGTCTTGGTCGCAGCAGTGGGCATTTCTTTCGATGATAGCGCCACCCTTCTTGACTACAAGACGTACTGGACAGCCTGCCCGGAACTTCACGCAGCTGAAATAGGTTGTTCCTGTCTCCACTACGGTGCGCTTCTTACAGAAGCGGTAGTTCTTGTGCTCCATGGACGAAGTTGAGAAGTGTCAACAGATACGTACACAATGTAGTTCTGCATGATTGGTTCCCGTCAACTTTTAAATAACCTCAATCCAAAGTCTGACTCAAAATAGGTTTTAGGATGTGTCCTAAACTTCCGTCTAAAATACCGGTTTTTAGTTTTGGACAGTATTAGGATTCGAATATATTTCGGGATTTAGAACACTTTTAGGATACATTTTGCAATCTATTCCAGTAATTTACGACGTTTTTTAGGATTTTGTAGGACATTTAGGACAGGATTAGTACAGAAAATTCGACACCGCAATCCGTACTATCATGTCGAAGAACGGGCAGTCTTGTAGGAAGTAACGAAGTCGACCTGAATTGAGGAATTTATTTGGTGAGGGTCATCTCCCCTCTTCATTGATGTACTATGTCGACGAGTGACAAACGCCGTCGGATGGCATACTTCGAAATTGTCTCCAGTTCTTTGCGATCTGTATCCACACCGCAAAACGTCAAGATTGTCTTACCAACCCGATCTGAATCCGCCACCTGGATATGTTGCAGATTGACTTTTGATGAAGTCGGTCCGATAACGTGGCTCGGCATGTCCAGCCACGTTAAGTGGAGCACCGACTGGTATGACTGAAGAGGCGCGCAAAGCACTTTTTTATAACGGAGGAACTCCGGTGTTCAACCCGAAGAAACCACATCTCCGTCTGAGCTTGGACTAGGCCCCTGCAGTCTGAACCCTAGACTCCTTGAGTACCTTCACATATGAGAGAAACGCTCACTAAGTCCTCCCATACTCTGGATAATGTGTCGTTTTACACGCGCGTCTAGCATATCTGGTGCTACGTGAGCCGGGGCACCGTTCACACAGCGCGACGACGACGCAGACGGGTAGTCCATCGCGGACAAATAGTAAAGATAGGCTGAAGCGCCGTTGTGAGTCGGAATTAAGTCAAAGATAGCCGGAGTACAAGGCTGACGTTGGCGACGTCTCTCTCAAGTTGATGTTGCCGGGTGCGGCAATGGTGTTGGCTCCCTTGACGCTGGCGATCAAGAAATGAACGCCGTTGTTGTGAATTTCGTCCAAATTTGCCGATGTGGGTCTGTTTGAGGAGCAGGAGGACAATCACCCATATACAAATCCAAGTCATTAGTAGAACCCACCACGTCTTTTAGTGCCACATGTCATGATCTTATTTCGTACTTAAACGGGTCAGTATACGGAACTGTAAGCGCCGGGCGATTTGGGGGAGATTCATTCCAAGAACCGCCCATGGAAATTTTGAGTAGAGCCCACAATACAGTGCATGCATAATATCCTGTAACTCACCGTTATTAAGAGAAAGACGGCCAAGCATATGGAGGCTTGCCGAGTGAGTGTTCCCATGGGAGAGCGGAAGTGCACGGGGGCAGAGTTGATCCGAAACATCAGATAAGGGGGATCGGTTACGATATATAAATCCCATCCGTCTAGCTGCTGAACAAAGTCGAGTAGCGCTTCCAGTACATCGCGAGCCGGTTGCGCTAGGAACTCTTGGCCATGTCGACACAGCATTCGTGCTGCGTCGACTAAGTCAACAGTCGATGAGGCCGCAGAGGGCGTCGGAGCCGTAACTCTGGCGGGGAAATTTTGCATAGTCACACCACCAGTATTGAGCTATGTCATCCGCTGATGCTCACCAAACGGGGAGAAGTGAAAAATCGACATCCCGAACATTCCAAACAAAAAGTCGGATAGACGGATAGCGATCCCTGGGTGAGTCTGGAATCGCACAGCATCTGCATAGACAACAATTTCAGCAAAAACAGAGGAAGCCTTACCTCGGAGTTCAGGAGCAGTGATACCCTCGTGTTCGGTAGCCTGAACTGCTACGGCGTGAACGCGTACTTAGATGTCCGTCGAGCTGGTTCTGCTTCTGGAGTCGTAGACAGGAATGCGAAGATCATGAAGCAGATGTGGTGAAGTGACAGTTGGCTTCTGGGAAGAAGGGACTGATTCATGGGATGTGACCCGATCCGTTTCGGAGACTCGTGGTCGACGACGGCGCATCATTGATTAGGTCATCATCCGTGAATATTACAGAATCATCTGAGTGGATCAACAAGGTGCAATCATTTAGACACGCGATCTACCTCCAAGGATTCGATCTACTGTGGACACATCAACTGATTTGTACCTATTGTAAGTACCACGCGACCAGACTATAGAAGGGACAGAAAGGGCATTTATAGGACGAGCAGAAGGTAATGGACCGCTAGGACTTAAGGGAATAATAGAGTGGAATTGGTCTTATCAGGAACAGTACAAGATTGGAAGCTGTAGCGGGGAGTATACTGGACCATACAGTAATCAAGTTAATTCTACCAAGAACATGCGTTAGTCGCCGGAGTTTGCAGCTTGGCCGGTCCACCGTCTCCGCTCTCGCCCTCAACTACCCCGCTA